CTCAATACCAAGAACCTCTGTCAAAGCTGGTGAAAGCTTAAACTTCTCAGGCACATAATGCATTTCCAGACGTATATTCACGTTAAACTCTTTATCCCCTTTCCTCTTTACTTCAAAACCTTCATGTGCAGCAGGTGAAATTTATCCCCAAATCGCGATTTCGAATATCCAAACCCTAACTCAGAAATTTTTAATCACTGCCACTGCCACGTGAAATTTAATGAAAAACACTGTCACTGCCACGTTATGAAGGTAAACAGCCACGTTGCACAGATCAGTCCACGCTGTCAGCTGGATCGTTAAATATTTAACGTCGTGACCGAAAAGGATTTAATTGGACATTTTTTTCACAACTTGGGACCACATTGAACTTTTTAAAAAAGGTAGGACGAATTTGAACATTTCTCTTATAAAGAGGGACAAAAAGAGGTATTAAGCCTATTTATTAAAAATACAGTCTTATAATAATACATTAATTAATATAATTATATATTTTCAATATATATATATATATATATATATATATATATATATATATAAAATTGTCGTTCTAAAAAATCAATTTTAGTTATAACGGTGACGTCATATAATAGTTAATGAACTGACTCTAATTTTAATGAAGGATCAACCTTTTTGTGAAACCCAATTTTTCCAAATACAACATTAATTATTTGATGCAAGTTTTTGTTATATCCAATACACGAAAGGGTGGCAAAATATTATTATCTAAATATTACTCTTTTATCACAAATTCTTGATAATTTATTCAATACAATGAAAAATAACAATCACTTAACTATTTTTCTTCTTATCACGTATCAATAACTCAACCCCCATATGTACGCATCAAAGTATATGCCTCTTTAAAATTAGAATATTGCAGAAATTTTTAGTATATATGTAGAAGTATACACATACATATATAAGGAAATTCTTAAAAAAAAATAATAGAAATAAATACGAATATTGCAATATCAGTTAGTGCATGGATTAAATACATAATTATGTTAAGTTATGTAATTAAATTCTATTTTATTGCTGGAGATAGATAGATATATATATTGTTAACTCTTGTGAAGCAAATGAGTCAGGTTGTGTAATAAAGATGAAAGGTAATTATAATTTTTTATAATAAACAAGAATATAGTTTCTATATTCTTCTACGTATATATATTGTAAACTTCATGCACCTAAGTCCCAACCAAACGTAAATCGGTTTATGATAACGAAAACCTAATCATGGAGAGAATGAGAGTCATACTAATCACTGCATTATTGTTCATAAGCGTGGTGGTTGCAGAAGATGCTTCAATCGATGAAAGCACTGATCTTGCTAAAGACGTTGGTATGAGCTTGGCCATTGATCAAATACTTAATGGACAAACTCAAGCGTACGAGTTTCCGAGGTTCATGAGGCTTGTGACACATTGCGGCTCACATGTTGCTGAAACATGCAGTGGAAATAGTCCAATGCATCATGGCGGTGGTGGAATCGGTGGCCAATTTGGGTTGTCTCAATGTCTTTTTGATTCCATGGAAGCATGCTTGGTAGACCACAAGGCCTCACTTTATCAAACAACTTCTTCCGATAACCCTAAACAGTCAATTCAATATTTGCCAGTGCTCATTGAAACTGTAAAGTTTCAAACCGTCTTGAGAACCTGCTCCCGTGTCACTGCACAAAGTTGTTTCACTGGTTCTAACGTTGATGCATCCGCTTTATCAGCTTGTCTTCTACCATCTTTGAATCGCTGTGTGTATCCTATGCAACCACCACCACCGTCACCGTCACCCAGGATTTGTATATCACTTCTTTGTTCTCTTAAAGTCTATTTTTTAAGAAAATTATATATCATTTAAGGAATATCATTAATATTTGTGCATTCTAATAAACTCATTTTATGTTACAAGTTTAATTAATTAACATGTGGTTGGTGCAGATTCTGCTCAAATTACGCCTGATCAAGAGCCACCACTGACCCCCACGACTTGTATATCACTTCTTTATTCTCTTAAAAGTCTATTTTTTAAGAAAATTATATATCATTTAAGGAATATCATTAATATTTGTGCATTCTTATAAACTCATTTTATGTTACAAGTTTAATTAATTAACAACATGTGATTGATGCAGATGGGCCACCTCTTGGGCCACCTCTTGGGCCACCTCTTGGGCCACCTCTTGGGCCACCTCTATTACTGGAATCTCTCCCCGAGACTCAGCCATACTCATATTCCTCAACTCACATTATACCCCTACAAAATCTCCCCTATACTCATTTTTACAGTGTGCAGAGTGCATAAATCAAAAGCAAGATAATAAAATACATCATCGCACTTAATCACACAAACCAATATATTGCATTAATAATTTAAACAGTAAACCTCAATTGTCAATAGGATTAGTAAAAACTTGTCGAGTAGACTATTCCAGGAAGAGAGGGTGCGTCAACAAGGACAATAAAGTACCAAGTCTTTCCTTAGCCAAAGGTGTCCTCAAACTAGTTTGTAAACAAATTCTTATTTACAAGTATTTAAAAAATAGCATATAATATTTTACACCGATTAACATTAGATAGATATACAGAAGCATGTAACACTATTCAACAAGAATTTCAGTATGGATAGTAATAAAAACAATACTAAATCAAATAAAAGCATAGAATACTAAATCATAATATAAAAGCATAGAAAAGGTTAGCTCCCCTACCTCTATCTCAGAACTTCTCTCGCTACTGAATTATTTCTCCGAAACCCTTACAGAACCTTCTACTCTTCTACAATAAAAAGTTCCTCCCTATCTTTCTATCTTATTTTAGCAAGCTCTTCACTTGATTTCTCTTCTCTTGGTGCAGAATAACCTTCCCTCCCATGGCTATTTATAGTAAAAAAAATTACTATTTCATTATATTTTAATATTTATTTATATTTTAAATATTATTTAAAAATAAGTATTGCAATCATTTTCTCACCAAATTGTCCTATCTCTATCTACTACTTTCTCCATGTAAGGAATCCAAATGCTTGAAAATTTAATTTTTTACTATTCCACTTTTTACTATTTACTATGACTTTGTACTATTTACTATTTACTTTGTATGATTCAATTTAAAAAAAAATTTTACCTAAATCAAGTTACCAAAAATTTGAACCCTATCCTTCTAAAATTACTATAATTTATATCAAAATTACAGTTTTCTATCCATTAAAATATGTATTTTAATAAAATACTAAAATTACTATTATAAATATTTTCATGGTCTTACATCTTCCCCAACAACAAAAATTTTCGTCCTCGAAATTCGACACTTCAAAAATAAACTTGGGGATAAGAATGTTTTACATCATCTTCTAATTCCACATGTATAGTCACCTGTTTCCTATTCCAACCACTCTGACTAAGTTGAACATTCATCCAACCATTATTCATATGGACCTTCTATACCGAATGGTTTAAAATTTTTTTTTTTTTTTTTTTTTTTTTTTTTTTTGTTACCGATTACTATTGAAGCCTCCGGTATGCATGACCGGAACTGTGGCAATGAGATTGTTGGCGTATATAAGGAGGAGCGCACAGCGTAGAGCACACTTTGAGGCGTTGCGATTTTTGAGTGTGTGAGAGGTGTGAGATCTTCTAAGGAGAGACTTTCTAGCGATCCTCTGGGTGGTGAGGGAGTTGAGGCTTGAGAGTTCATGAGTGTGAGAGTTGTTTGGGGATTAGAACTAGACTGGAGTGTGATAGATCGGAGAGCCTTTCGGCAAGCCTTCAATCTTTATGTTCCCAGGGCTTTGCTACTCGCCCGAGTAAGTACTTCCCTTTTCTTATATTTTCTTTCCTTACCCAGCTTCTCCGTTTCTTACTTCTTGCTTCTTTTGTTCCTTTCTTCTTCTACTATTTTTCATTTTTTTTAACTAAAACTAAGAATACACTGCTTAACAAAAGATAAGGGAGTATAATATCGGACTGGAAACCAGACGTTAATCTACCTTCGTTTGAAGGTATGGCAGAGACAATCGTTTAGTAGTAGAACAACGCCACGTACCCCATAAAAATGAAAACTTTAGAAAAAAGAAAAGCTTTTGTATGCACAAAATGGACACGAACGTAGATCCGTTTAGGAACATTTGCGAGGACCGTGGAAAAGATTATTTTGGGACATTGAGACTTCAAAAATTGGACAATGAAAATGAACTCAAGAAGAAGCAAAATAAAACTTAACTTAAATTGGAACCTGACTTCACTGTAATAAATCTTTGTACTTTTACTTGTACGTTATGACACAAAAATTAGGAAAAATGGATATGGAAGCCAAGGACAGTTTATAAAACGATGGCGATCTACCCCGGAACAAGTTGGAATCTGCTGAACATTCTACAAACATGGGATCATTATCCTAGTCGAGATACAAGTTCGCGAGATACAGACGACAGAGTACGGGGAAGTCGGAGATACAGCGTCTTATTGTTGGTTTCAAAACCATGGAAAATCGGGTGAAGAACGAGGCTGGCAAAAGACGTCCCTAGTACATCGGACCTTCATTTTCCCTTATCCCTCGTATATGTATGGTAAATCTTCTTTCCTTTCCTCTTCTTTCCCTTTATTTATTTTATATGTTTAATTTGTATTGATTTTATTTATCTCTAACTACAACTATTTTTGCAATACCGATAGATCCTTCATGGGTACTTCCACGGACTCCGAAGCTCTTAGATCTCTTTCCCATTCCCGCTATACGTAAAGAGGAAGGGAAAGTTACTCCACCTATGTTGTTTCGTACCCAAGCTCCTTCCACAGAGCTTTCTTTGAGGTTGTCGTTCGCCGATCAGTAGTCTCCTTAGGGGGACTATTTTTATTTACTGTATTTTATGGACTGTACTCTTAATGGTCACTTGTGGCCAACTCGTGAACATTTTATTTTATTTATGTACTGTAATCTTTATCTGCTTGTTTTATATTCTAGTTAATGATTTTTTTTTTTTTTTTTACTCTGCTCATATTGGTGTTTCTTCAGCAATAATTCCTATATGTTCAATCTTCCTCCCTCGGTCTATACTAAGGTAATTTTGGAACTGGAAGAGTTGTATTAATTTTGGTATTTACCAAGAACTTAAGACAGAAGTCCCTGAAATTCTCGAGGCTTAGAGAAAAATCTTATTATTGTAATTTTATTTTATTATGAGATTTTTTTTTTCATATGAAATAATAGTTATGTTATGTTCTTCCTTGATCATGTATCTTTTATTATCTTATATGTGTCTTAACCGATTTAATTTGACAATGGGCGTTATTACTCAATTACGTAACTGGTATCTAATAAAAATTTAAGACCTTTCTAATATAATTTAGTCACTATCCCAGAATACTTTAGCCGTTAAGTCGTATCCTATACCCTAAATTATAAATTCACAAGTACAAGATAGTTGAGAAGCACATCAAACATGTTTATAAAATTTGAAAGTTCCAGCACAAACAACCACGAATCGGCTCTGAAAAGAAAGAAGAAAAAGAAGGACGGGGAAGAAGAAGGATTAGGAATAAGGAGAAGGAGAGATGATAG